TTGTGAATAGTAGAATGAACGAACACCCAGGCTCAATTTCTTCTGCTTTGGTCCGCTTGTTCCGATTGCAACAGAGCCACCAGATCACTAATTTGTCATATCACGGGTTATTTTACACGGATGGCTCTTTGGCCTTTGATACGCATCATTCATTCTCTAAAAGACCAGGGTCTCTCGTTGTAAATCAATTTAGTCTCGTTGCTCCCGACCCATTATTTTGGTTAGCCGTTTCGAAGACGGCGAGTACCTTGGTATCTGTGTTACGGCCGACATCTTGACTAGGTGTTACTAGGTATGAAGTCGATTCATGGAATTGCGGGCAGACTCTTACTCTGCTGTATTAGTTGTCGGAAAGCAGAAATTATTGACCGCTGTTCTATTACTCTATTTTGATTCAAGGCCACGTTCTAGGTTTGTTTGTATTTCAGGTTACGCATTTTGTCGATGGTCTGATCTAGAACTTAGCAGTGTAGTTGCAGATTTTATTTTAGTGAGTGCCCTATTCTCGCCATGAATAATATGTCAGCTTACGCGAGCTTGTAGTTGTGGCGCTGCTACGTAGTTTGGGGAAGACGTTGGAAAATCGTCATCGTACCCCTTCTAATTGCCGTTGGAAGTCACGGTAAGCATTCCCTTCTGTTCTTTGGAGCCGCCTTGTTGAGGAATATAGCCACCGTGCTTGTCTTGATTTTTCGGATGGTACCCTATGCATTGGTGTACTGGAGCGGAATTGAGGTGCACGCCTTTGAGAATGCGGCGGTCGCGATTACTCAGGCGGTAGTTGGCTTGAATAATCTATTAGTTTCATCCCTTATAGGCACGTCATTCAAGTTTGATCCATTCTACATTCTGAGTCTGATGCAATTGACGCAGCATTTCGTATTCTCTTCACGAGCCGCGAGATTACTCCATACTTAGGTGCAAAGCCAAAGGCAATGTACCGAACCACAATAGCCGCAACGTTCGTGGATTTATTTTACCTCTTCTCCATTGGCGTCTAACGCATTGTTTCTGGCAAGGCTTGAATCTGGCTTCGTATATTCAGTATTTGTCAGTATACCATCAATGATGGGTACCGAACTGTCTTGGCCTGGATCTTCAACGCATAATCACGCTGATTTCTTCGTTCGGAGCACTGTGGTGAACATCTGCTTACGATGCTGGCCAGCCGTCGCAGTACGTACCCCCATATTTTCCGGATTATTCGAAACTCAGACTGTTGCACTAAAGGGTATTGCATCAACCATAATCGTAGTCCGGGTTGCTTTCGCTGCTGATACTTCTCATTCGTTACCACCGACAGACAATGATTAACACAGCTCCGAGATCACGATGGAATAGTACCAAGGGCATAGATAGAACTAGACTGATAATTTATGGTCAGGCTCGACGCTATGGCTTAGGTCTCCTCCGTCGTAGTCAACCTGAATTGGATCATTATTACCTATTTTGCTTTCCTAGAAGGCCCCATATATATCCTCCTCGTCGGTTTCTTCGAGGTCTTTGAGAGGCGAGATCTTGCAGAGAATAATGTACGTGGCACTACTCAAGAAGAATCCTTATGTGAACACTCAGTGATGAGATGTATGCTAATAGAGGTACTGACCCGATAGCCACGAGAGGTAATAGATTCTATCGTTGACTTCTGAACGGCGGCAATGAAGCCTAGCATTAGTGGCCATACGCCCATGGCTCAAGCAAGGATAGCGCGGAAATTGATTTCGTGTGTATACCTGGGCTCGAGATTACACCATAAGGGTTAAGATTTGGAGATGTGGACTCCCCAGAAAACTGATTTCCCGGATGGGGCGTAAATATGGCTCAAACAAATCTTTTCTTTCCGACCGTTTTCCGATATCGCTGGGACATGGACGTCTCACTCGCCACATTCACATTCAAGTCCTTCCTGGCTCACGCTCTTTCATCAGCGCTCCCCGCTGAGTTTTGGGGTGAACTAGGCATATTGAAGGGTACATTCAGAGGATGTGTGACGGTCATGTTTTTCGGGAGTTACGACGGTTCGCATGCGACATGTGATGAGATCCTCGAATCATTCTTAAATGCATTACCCTGCCACGCAATGACTTCATCGTCGTTAGCGAGAACGCGATGAGTGGATTGATGGAACATCTGGGTGGTGCTGGTTTTGATATTGACGACGTGTGTTTCTTTGCTTCTTCGGATATATACTGATGCTTGTACTACCAGTTATGGGCTGTTGAAATAGAGGTCCACGGTGGTGTCCATTCTGCCATCAAGTCTGTTCCACTCGAATCCACGGCATTTGGGAGACGAAATAGTCTTTTCACGTTCCAGCTTTATGGAAGTACAGACGTTAGACTACCCCAATGGGACGATAGCATATTCGGGTTTGTGCATGGGGTAGTGGATAAGGTCGTGACTCACATGCCGGATAACTGGGGATACGGGTGAGTCACTCTTTTTGGAGAAAGATCGGGTACAATCTTTCCTTTCAACATGATACTGATTTGAAACTTCATTCGCAGTGAGATTGATTGCTATTGAATGCCTGTTCAGGTAAGTCACGGCCCATGTTTCAGTCTACCTGTCTAGAAATCAAGTACTTAAGAAGCGAGCATGTTCCCAGAACATTTATTGTTATTTTCAATGGCCTTTGATCGTCACTCCGGAATACTTGCACAAGTTGCACTCACTGCCGTAAGTGCAATAATATGGCTCGTAATAGTCGACTGAAAGCCACTAGGTTCAATTCTTCTGCTATGGTCCATGTTCCGACTTGCTATCAGTTCCACAACACTAATTTGTCATAAAACAGGCGTATACACGGTGCTCTTTGGCCTTTCTACGCACATTCTCTCTAAGAGACCAGGGGTCTCTCGTTTAAATCCAATTTTCGTTGCGACTATTATTTTGTTTGTCGTTTCAACGGCTGATACTGTGGTCTGTATTACCGCCGACATCTTGACTTGGTGTACTAGGTATGAAGCTGATTCATGAATGGCGGCGCGCCTCTTACTCTTGGTGTATTAGTTGTCCAACAAGTAGCAAAGATATTGAGCGCCTGTTCTACATTCAATATTATCTCAAGGCCACGTCTAGGTTCGTCCAATATAGACTTACAATTGTCAGTGTGGCTGATGGCATTACCAGTGCAGTTGCAGATTTTATTTTAGTAATTGCCCAGTTCTCGCTATAAATACTACGTCAACTTACGCGATCTTGTAGCTGTGGCGCTGCTACGTAGTTTGGGGAAGACGTTGGAAAATCGTCATCGTACCCCTTCTAATTTCCGTTGGAAGTCACAGTAAGGACCACCTTCCGTTCTTTTGCGCTTCTTTGTTAAATATTGTAGCCACTCTGCTTGTCTTGGACTTTCGGATCGTACCCCATGCATTGATGTACTGGACCAGAATTGAGGTTCACGCCTTTGAGGATGCGGCAGTCGCGATTACTCAGGCGGTAGTTGGCTTGAATAATCTATTAGTTTCGGCTCTTATAGGCACGTCATCCGAGTTTGATCTTTTCCAAGTTCCTCAGAGTCTGATGTGTTCGACGCAGCACTTCGTATCCTCCTCCTGAGCCGCGAGGTCACCGCGTACTTGGGTGCAAAGTCAAGGGCGATGTACCGAACTGTGACAGCCGCAACGTTCGTGGATTCCCTTAACTTTTTCTCCGCTGGCATCTAACGCAATCTCTTTTGGCAAGGTTTGAATCTGGCTTCGTATATTCATTATTTGTCAGTATACCATCGATGATGGCTATCGAAGTGTCTTGGCCCGGATCTTCAACGCATGATCACGCTGATTTCTTCGTTCGGACCACTGCGATGAACATCTGCTTACGATGCTGGCCAGCCGTCGCAGTACGTACCTCCATATTATTCGGATTATTCAAAACTCAGACTGTTGCACCAAAGGGTATTGCATCAACCATAATCGTAGTCCGGGTTGCTTTTGCTGCTGATACTTCTCATTCATTATCACCGACAGACAGTGATAACCAAGGCTCCTAGAGCCCAGAGGAGATATATAGAACTAGACTGATAGTTTGTGATCAGACTCGACGCTGTGGTTTTCTCCCCCGTCATAGTTAGCCTGAATAAGATCATTATGAGCCATTTCTCTTTCTTCGAAGGTCCCGTAAATATTCCCCTCGTCCATTTCTTCGAGGCCTTTGAGAGTCCAGATCTCGCAGAGAATGATGTACGTCGCGCTACTCAAGATGAATCCTTGATATGGAGTGCTGGCGCCCCTATGAACGCACGGGTGTCACTATCGCCGATCTGATGTTCTGATTCATCATAAAGCTGATGTAGAACTCAGATTTAGCAACTGCCAGGGGTTTGTTGCTAGCCCGACGAAGGCAGCGATGAAAGTATCCTGCATCGATCCTCAATGGTGCAGTATTAGCATGGTACGAGCCAAAGAGCTCACCCCCAGACCGGAGAGGTCGATACCTCTGGATATGGCGTTTCCAGACACATTAATACCCACTGTGATACGACGAAGGCGCTGCCTAATTAGAAAAGATGCTCAGTATCTGGTTCTACTGAGTTTTGCTCAATTCACGTGTGTGACGCTATCGGCGATGATTCCGAAAATGGTATCACAACCGCAGTTTTCGTGGCTCCGAGTCTACTGAGATTTCAAACGGACAATTTCCACGTACACGTTCTTTCTTCCCTTTCCGCTTGTCTAACTTGACATAAACGCTTGCTCTGTCCTACGCTGATTCACTTTACACGAACTTGCACTTCCAACTGGTGCCTTAGGTTCCCTCAATTATTCAAGGATGGATGTTTCATTCAAGAGTTAGTCTTGGTTCAAACGTTCTACTCTTTAGCATTACACACAAGACCTACTAGGTACTTAAAATAGCAATTCGGATTGGAAACTCTCATTGGATAGGGAAAAGACGAATCTCTGAGGTCAAGAGAGTAGATACAAATGATAAAGACGCGCTGATGGATGATAAGAAAGCAAGATCCACTATTGACAACATTACACACTTTTCATAACACACCGTTGGTGAAGTGGTTATCATGCTTGCCTTCCATAGTGAGCTTGGGGGAAATTCAGCAAGCGGCTCGGGTTCGATTCCCGAACGGTGTATGTAAAAAAATAATGGCTGCTTTTTCGGGCATCTTGTATTCACTAGTATTGGAAGAAACAATTAATCAATACTCCCTTGGTTAATTTTCGGTAGGGTTGGCTCTGGACACATGAGCGCGTGAAGCAAGAAAAATCTACAGAGTTTTGATCAATTCCGCAATTCCGAAACGACGGCGCTAAAGCGCCCAATCATTTTGATTTAGACCAACAGGTTTGTCGTTGAGGATACACCTCAAGCTTGGATGCCGAGGATAGTTAGATGCAGGAACAAGTTTTCGATATCACTGCTAAGACTCTCGAGTTATGGAGTGGGGTGCGGACGGGTATTGGTTCGGTCGTCTTTGTTCTACGTCGGTGCTATGTTTGTGGTCGTACATGGGAATATGAGGTAGCTGAAGACACCGTTGGTGCAGTGGGTACACCGCTAGGTGAAATCAAGCGACTCGGGTTCGATCCCGGACCGGTGTATAGTAAAATCACCAATTGCTAATCAACGCTCACTGTACACCGTATTAGCATAAACCAAAAATCAGTATAGGATCCTTTTTCAATACTTTGAAACGCACCAGCTTCTTAAGGCCAAGAGTCATCACACGCCCTGAGGATTTCCTCCTTCCGATATATACTCGTGTAATTGATAGCAATATCAAGTTTGATTGGGTGTTCGATATCACTTCTAAGACTCTCGAGTGGAGTGGGATGCGGACGGGGATTATCATTGGTTCGGTTGTCTTTGTTCTATGTCGGTGATATGTTCGTAGTCGTTGTACTCATGGTTTCAGACACCGTTGGTGCAGTGGTTGCCCCGCTTAGTGAACGCAAACGGCTTTGGGTTCGATCCCGGGACGGTGTATAAAATCCACGCAAGGAACTTTATTCCATGCCCTTTCTAGTTCGCAAACCCGTGTGATTGCATGGTTTTTGCCAGACCAAGACATATTTATGACACTGTTGCAGGTGTCAAGATCATTGAACCTCGTCTACGGGGATATTTTGATAGAATGTCCAAGACTGAAGTCGTATACGAACAGAACATGCTCATTGACATGGATATGTTGCACGGGCGGCTTGTATATCATTCGTTTGCGAGCCCTGCATCCTCAGCAACTGATAGGAAAATAATATTCCTTGTGCTGTAGAATATTGGTCATTTTAGATAACGCACCATATCGGTATCCTTCCTGCTTGTGTGCCAAAAACACATCCAACTACATTCATGCGCTTCGTGCAAGGCTTGAACTTGCGACGCAGCGAAAATGCAAGTCATACGCAGCCCAACCAACTAGACCACAAGGGCGTTGAATGCAACTTTGAACGCGTGAACGTGACAGACCGTGGGTAGAGTGACGTCATGCAGAAGTAACCCTACGCCCTGTGCTTCTATCAGGTCATCCGTCGCTTCTTTCGCTTCTTCAACCACGACTACAACTTCCCATTCGCCGCCGCCGTTTTGGTTGCTTATGTTGATAACCGCAGCTTTCTTTCTTCAACCACGATAGCTTGATGACTTGATCAGGTACGTCTCTATTAACCCTCGTTGGATTGGTTGGCTCATTGGTTGGGTTAGGTGTATTCCTCCGCGCTCCATTCGACCAACCCGAATCCTGCGCCTCCCCCGATGGTTCTACGGGAATCGGAGGTACGTCGTCTTCCTTTTTCTAACGACTGGTTGCTTATCTTGATCAAGTCCAGCTTCCTTCAATCATGATGGTGAACATTCTCGGTGCTGGTACGTCCTCCTTATCTTCCGTATGATTGGGTGTCTCATTGGTTGAATTAGGGCCTAGGCATATTCTACCTCGCCCTTCTATTCGACCCAACGTCACGTAACCTGTACGTCCACCCGCCCAACGTCCAGTCCGCAGCCGTTATCATAGGAGGAACAGTTGCTGATGTTGAAAGTGGGGGAGTAGACGAAACTTGGGATGGCAGTTCGCACAGACCGATGAAGAGATGTTTTCACCTACTCCACGCCTCGGTACACATCCCCTCTATCCAAGCCGCCCATATCCTGTCAAGGACCAACGCTCTCGATCAATTATCGTTCCTACGTCACCTCAGCCGCTTTACACCCGCTTCTCGCTACTCCACGGTCGTCGTCCGTTCGTCGTCAGGTCTCATCGTCGGTGTAGGAGGAAGAGCTGCTGGAAGGGATGAAAAGCTGCCGAATGGAATAAGTATCGTCGATACGACGTAACGTACCTGCACCCACCACTCTGTACACTCCGGAGTTTTGAAGACACGGAAGTCGAACATGGACCATTCTCCAATCTACGCCCCACGCTCTTCCCGCTCTCCACTACACCCCACTCCCATCTTCTCGTCCTGTGATGCAACGGGTTACATGGGTGTTCATCGACACCCCTCACTTTTCACCCTACTCCTTCCCCGTGCCCGGTTGGATTTCGGGAAACGGTTATGATAGCAGCAGGTGCCGCCTGGGTTGGTTGAGGGGGAGAAAGGGAGGAATTCGATGCATGCGCGACCCTTTGTTATCCCCACCTACTTCCTGCCTCATCAGTACCTTCCAGCGCGGAAGGACAGGAAGAACGACCGCAGCCGTCTCCCACATTTGAATGAAAGGTACGTATTTCACGTTCTATATCGCGAGTTGTTTAATCTGACGATACTCGATACAGGATACTACGTGCTTGTGCCCTTTTCCACCTCCCAAGGGACGATGTGCTGGTTAGTGTGTTGCATTCTGCTGCTCGTGTATGACACCGTTGGTAAAGTAGTTATCACGCTTGCCCAAAGGAAGCGGCTTGGGTTCGATCCCGGAACGGTGTATATCCCAAGGGTAATAGCATTTTGCACTTTCAAATACCGAATGGAAAGGGAACCCGATACCCCTCAATTTCTGGCGTGGAAATGAATGATGCAAGTCAGACACTGCATGCTTGTTGCGTAGCCAACTACTGTGGATCCGAGGGCGCGGTGTGTTGAATCTATCGCACGGATTAGAGGTATCCAAATTAGTAGTTATCGGGCGTTGGAGTTGTATATGAAAACAACACGCCGCAGCTGTTTTCGTTGACATGTGTGATTGTTTTAAATTCCCAAAAAATAACCAACTCTCGACATCACATGCTCCCTGCAAGGCTTGAACTTGCGACGAACTCATAGGCCGTCTAACCCACTAGACTAGGGAGGCGTCGACATGAAGGATATGTAGAGTGTTGAGCTTTCTTCCTTCTACCTGCCGCTACAGGTATGTCTGTTTTATCGATTTTTTGCTTCGTTAAACTTGGCCTTCGTCAATGACGGGAATGATATGGTTGAGAGAGGTCTTTATTGTACGTTCCTGGCGTACGCGATACTAGACTTCATGTCGTCGTTTGCCTTCCACAGCGAAGCGAGAACATTATCTAGCTCCTCTGATTTACAGAGCATGTGAAGATTGAAGGCGAACACACTCCATACCACGATATTCGCGTTGCCACGATTCATCTGCTCATTGTTTCGAACAACGGTATCCCGTTTAGATGCCAAAAATGATTACTAATTTCCCTATACATGCTCCTTGCAAGGTTTGAACTTGCGCACTTATGTTTCTTTTCTCTCTCTTTTGGTCCGTTAACTCATCAGTTTGGTTACTAGGTGTATCTCGCTGCGTTTCATTTGACCCGACGCGTTCAACCGTACCACAAAATGAATCATAGAATGTTTCCTTCATATCAAAAGCGCCACAACAACACCGTTACACCCAATCCACTTTCATTCCAGTCGCCCTTAAAAGTCAATGACCTGCTGCTCTACTTCCTTCCCATTAGATCGACAGTTCTGCGAGTATTCTACGATATTCATTGAGTGAAAATATCACACGAGCAACAAAGGACACATACGATCGAATCCCTCTTGCGCTGTTTCCTTCAAGGTACCATCCGCAGAGACGAGACAGTTCAATGCGATACCAATAATATCGCTAACTCTGTCAGAGCAAATGCAGTCGACGATATCGGGCATCTGGGGTTTGTTGTCGCAGTCCTATGATGAATCAGCTGTTGCGAGCAAACGATAGTGAGGGTATATATAGACCTCAAAAGCTTCACGGAAGGCGCGTTTCTCGGACTGACATGTTTGTTGGTCACCGGAGCCAGGTAGCACGGTGAAGATTTGGGCAGAGGCGTGGGCTAGGGAGGTTGAGTTTTTGGTCGGTAGGAAAATGTGTATATGGACGTACCGAGCAAAGTAAAGATAACGAGTGAGGTGGTAGGGGACTTCATTGTTAAGCCGCAAGAGAGAGATCAAGAGAGAGAAAGAGAGAGGAAAGAGTTGATGAGGATGCCAAAATTCCGAAAACATTTTAATGCGATTCCAGGAGGTTCAGCGGATCTTGACGTTGTCATAAATGGATGCCGTGGGTTTACCCTATATGTTGTTGATAGTAACAACGTTGACGCGGGACGAGATCATATAAACCACGCCTCAGTTCCGTTTGTACTACACGAGACATGATGCACTGTTGTGGTCCCGGTTGCAATCTATAGTCTCTCGGTATCAAAGTGGTTGTATAGGAATTGAGTCTGCTGATGGATCCCGACATCCCGACCCGATTGACAATAATCTACCTTTACTGCCTCGTTCGACGATCCCTAAGGACTCGAGATCGACATTCGGTGAAGGAAGGACTTTCATTACATCCTATAGAGTCTACAAACTATTCCCTTGCAGGTGTAATGGCCGCTCAGGTTGATGACGGCAGTGGCGTGGTAATACATTGATGGCAATTCCCGATTTTCATGTTCCCAACTACTCCCGCTGACGATCACCAGTCATATCAAGCCATCAACGCCAACGATGAGGAAGAAAGATGTTCTCAAGGATGTTCGCAGGCATTGCAAGTTTTCAGACTTATATTGGTAAAAACTTCATATTTGGTAGTGTTACTCAGCCGTTACTCAAGAATATCGTGGCACGAGCAGGACGCAATCTCAAACATTTTGATTTCTTAACGAACAGCACTCAAATTCCGGGCTCGGGCGTTACGTGATCCCGAG